TTTATTGCTATGTTTTAATTAGGCTTTTTTCTCCCTCTGATACTTGTCTAGTTGAATAAATGGCATGATTCATTTTTGGTGGAAGCATGTAACACTTTTTCATATCTGGAAAAATTGATTAATATTAAATGTCATCTTCTGGGTGAACTCCTTTTTAAATTTTAATGTGTAAGTTTACTTATAGTCTCAGCTTAAACTTTTGCTGTGGCAGTCACATCATTCTTCAGGTTTATCATATTTCACTGCATAAGCAAATCCACCAACATTCACTCTTATGAACAGTGACCATTCCACATACAGCAGTGTTTGTATAGCTACCACTCTCATGGTATTTTTACAAACCCTGTGTCTGTCATGTGTACGGCAGCTACACTGAAAAAATAGAAATAGAAAATTCTTAGTTTGATGTAAAGTCCAGGAGATTGCTGCTTAGATCTTTGACTGATGTATTTTCTTATTTTCATGGTATTACACTGACTTGTTTTTTAACAAAATAGTCTCAAGATCAGCATCACAGTTTCTCCTTCATGCTAGTTGTGAGCTGAAGGTTTGAAACTGTCAGAGAGGAGACCGTGAATATGCTTTTCTGTGTAACTTTTACATAGGGCAACTGATGAGCCCAGACAGGTAAGACTGTTCAGAAGGTTGAAGGTGGTAGAACATCTATTAAACAGTTCATTTCTTTTAAACCTGTGGTGGCATGTCACATTTCTTTCAGTTTTTGTGCTAGCTATGCATGCAATAATAATAACTAGAGGATTAGTTCCTTCACAAATATCTTGCTTTTTATTGTCATATTTCTGTCAAAGTATTTATTACTGTATAATTTAATTTATGCAGTCTCTGCTGTGTTTTTTCAAACTCTGACTTGATTCAGAGTTTCCACTTTTTGCTTGTTTCCCTGTGCAAATTTGCACTGCTTTCTCTTTGCAAGTGGTTAACTAAATATGAGGTAATCACTTTCTTCCCCTTGGCTCATGAGAGAATTAGGGCTACAAAGAATGCTAGGCCGTGTTCAGTCTAATCTCATTTCAGAGACTGAATCAACTAGCTTAGTGTAATTTTGGGCAGATGGCTACCTTCACTAGTAAAAGACATGTCTAAATCAGATCGGTTGCTGTCTTTTACAGTGCTTACCATCAGGAAGTCTGTGCAGATTAAGAGTTGCATCTTCTGCAGTTTGAGTCCAATGCTTGTTTGGTTCTTGATACAAGGTTACTGCTGCCATCTCTGTAGTGAACTGTGAGGCTTTGGAGAGCATGGCTGCGTTCTTTATTTCTTTTTAGGTGAATCCATCAGATTCACTCATTCCTGTGTCACAGACTGTTATTGTAGTTGTCTTGATTTCTTTTGCATCCATCTATGCTTTTAGAAGACGCTCAAAAATTTGTGTAATTTACCAGTACAGTGGGATATTTTATGTGTGCTTCTTTATCCCATTGGATCAAATTCTCGGTTAAGTTGGAGGCACTGTAGTATGATCTTAGAGTTTTTAAATCAGTTTGAAAGTGCAACTTCATTAAGAGTAAAAATCTGAAGATAATCTAGCCTCTTGACCCTGAATTAACACCTAATCCCTTAGAAAATGTAATTACTTTATAGGGTTATTTTCTACCAGGAAGAGTATTATGGGATTGCTTTGTTCCCTGCAGTAGAGCAGACCTGTAACAAAGAGATTGCATCCTGTCTGGTTTGTTCTTTTTGTTGCTTTAATGTGATACTTGTTGAAAGAAACTTGTTTCAATGCCTGACTTTGGTCTGCACAATTATTCCATTTGAAGCCACAAACACAAATTATTATTCAGTTACAATCAACTATAGCTGTTTTACAGACAGTGGGAAACAAATGGTGGTGCTGTGTGCAAGATTCTGAACCCTGTATAACATGAGATGCCTTACTTGATTTTCTTCATGGCTTTGTGGATAGGAAGTGTTTCACTTTGAGTTTTCTAGTATTTCCATTTCCAGTTTCTTAAAAGCATACTTTTAGAGTTTAAATTTTTTGAAATACAAGCTAAATACAGCTCTTGATGCTTAGTGCAGTGTAGTTTGCACTAGGGCATAGGATGACTCTTCTTTCTTCCATTTGAATTCATGCAAAGGTAAGCAGGTCATTGTTTCATATATTTGTGTTCTTGAGTAACTTTTTGAGGTGTAAATCAAAGAGGTATTATTTACAAACTTAACTTCCACTTTAACCCTAAGAGAGTGATTTTAAATTCCTTTGAACTGAAACTGATAGATTTAGACTGGCTTTAGCCTGTACTGTTTCAGACAAAAGCCTGATGCTGGCAATGTATATTGACCCTACTAGAGACAGAACAAAATCAAGAAAGATTGCTGTATATATTATAAAATAGATGGAATGACTAGATCAAAAGTAAACCAGCCTTTGAAAAAAAATTAAACTGACTATGGCTAAAGATGCAGAAGTTTCATTGCAGCCTATTGGAATGCTGTTTCTGGAAATATCTTTAGAACTTAGACTGACTTTATCACATGTGGAACTATCATATAAATTATAATAAATTATATTAAGGTCATACCTAACATACAGACTAAGGGACTTTATTACTTAGTGTGATGTCCCTTCTTTTGGTGGAAGTGGTTATACAGGTGTTGCTGCGAGAACAGCAGCCAAGGAGCAGTGTTAGGACACACTTTGCTTTTAAAGCTGGAGGATATCTGATTACTGCTGCTCCTGGTGGGTAGCCATTCTCTCTTGCCATGCATGTGCTGTCTGGCAGGCAGGTACCTGACCTGATGCTAAATGCTGAAGCTGCTCTGTGCAGGCTCTCAGGTGAACTGAGTGCAGCTAAGGAGCTGGTACAAAGACCATGTGCCCCAAGCCAGACAGATTAGCTGAATTTACACTGAAGTGTAAGTTTGTAAGCAGGGAAGTCTTAAACCAGAGCTTCCTTTCCTCTTCCTGCATTGAACATGCAAAGGGACCCCAAAGGGCTCTGTAGCTAAAAATGTAACTGTACAACAGGGCAAGGCAGCTCCTTAAAAAGAGATGGCTTATAGCTGCTGGGGTGAGATCGGTTGCATGGAGATGTGCCCTTGCATGTGGGAAGAGAGGGTGTGGGTCTCTTCAGGCAGTCATGCTTGCCTGTAGCAGCTTTTGTTTGCATTGCACAACCCATGAGCTGCGAGTTCTTGTTCATAATTTTCTGCATGGGCTGTCTTTTATTAATTTTGCTTTTTGTCACCTAGAGAATCACTGCACTTGCTCTCCGTTATTCTTGGGAAGAAACAGGTGTTGTCTTTGTTCTGTGGGGTTTTTCCGTCAGAAGGTTTAGACTGAGCTGAGTCAGAGTCTTTCCTGCTGTTCAGCCTCAGTTTTTAAAGACCTGCTGTATAGTGACTTCTGAACAAACAAGTGTCTGTCCTCCATTGAAATTACTTGAAAGATTGAGCTCTGAAGTCATTACTGTGCTTCACAGAAAACAATGTAATGTCTTGTTTCCTTTGTCTAATTTTGATAGGATGTATGTATTTGTAATTGATGTGTGAAAATGGGAGAAAGTAAAATAGGTCCAAACGTTTACTGGAAGAACTGTATTGGATTTGGTAGCACTCTCAAAATTTAATGAGCCCCAGATTGATGATACCCAAATGAGCAAGAAAAATCTTAATCCTTCCTGCATATTCCCCAGGCAAATGTTAGGGTTTGGGAGCTAATCCATCAATCCACGCTACCTATGCAAAAAAAGGTGAAAACTGTGATTATAATGGGACTGTCTCAAAAAGTATCTCCTTGATTGTGCTGGTTGCATTGTACTTGAATCTTGCAAATTGTAAATCTCAGTGATTATGTGCCTAGCAATGCTTTTAACATTTTCTGGTTTGCTTGAACATAATTTATAGCTCTCACATTATTCCTTCACTCAGAAATTTTGCAGATGGTTGAACTGGTTATCATCACAAAAGACCTTTGCTCTCTTCCTAGAAGAAAGCAGAATCCTAGCTGTTCATTACAAGTAAAACATGAACTTTAAAAATAAATTAATTTACCTGGATTCTTTAGAGATTAGTTATGATAGAACTTTCTTCACTTGTTAAAGGATGCAAAACACAAAAAACTATGTTAAGTAGAAGTCTGGTCTTCTATCTAAACTACTTGGGCAAGTGGCATAATGTCTTGTCCTTTTAAATATTTGTGGTATCCTTAGTAACTGCTTTAGCTTAAGATTGCTCTTAGTCATGTCAGTCTTTCAGTTTGTATAAGTTGGCTTCAGAGAATGAATGTGGTTACCATTAGGTCTGCAGCAAGGTATTGTTATTTTGCTGGATCCATTTATTTGCTTTCTGACTGTATGGTTGGGGGTTTTTTGTATGTTTTATTTTCAAAATACTGGCCTTGATAAAAATGTGTTTTAAAAGTGAAAGTTCATCTTAGCTGAGACCTTTTCGAGTGAGAGTGTGGTGATAAGCACTGGACTTCTTCCAGGTCTCTAGTGAGAATCTTATAGGTCAGTCCTAGGAGGGATGATGGCCTGCACTGGTCTCACCAGGTGCTGCTCAAATGTTAAAGTACTAAAGGTTGAACAATTTGTGACATGAAACATCAGCAAATGGTTGTCATTGTTTTGTTCGTTTTTTTGCACTCCTTTCCCTTTCTTCTGTGTGCAGCATTTACTTTTTAAAAGCTCTCTTTAGTATAAAAGTTGTATCAATAAAAGCTAGTATTTTGGGGTCTTATTTCCAGGTATCAAGTATTTGGTATTTGATGAATTTTATTTCTATGATGAGAGATTTTTGTTTATGGGAGAGAAAATGATATTATGTGAAATGTGGAAGAATGTCAGACAAAAAGTGTTAAATTCTAGGAAGGTAAAAGCTTAAAATGTCTCATGATCGAGAAGAAAGTAAAGGTGAGTACTGAAATAGCTTTAAAACTTTTTATTTTCACAGGTGCTTTTTTAAAGCTATTAACATTAAGAAGTCTAAAATGTGATCTGCTGCAATGGGTGTCTGTTTTTCCTTCCTTCTGGCAGGTCGTGACAATGCCTGTGAGAAGACTTCGTACATGTTCCTGCGGAAGGAGCTTCCTGTGCGACTGGCGAACACCATGAGGGAAGTCAATTTGCTGCCTGATAATTTACTGAACAGGCCTTCGGTTGGGCTGGTACAGAGCTGGTAAGTTAAAGAAAAAGTGGATTGGAAAACTAACACTGTATGTGTTGTTCTGCTTGCAACTATGAATCGCTGCATTCTTCTGAATCTGTCAGTTTTTTGCCTTGAATTGTTTATAGTGTGGTTTGTCAAATGAAGTTTCATCTTCTTCTGTCTGATGTTGAGTATATACTCTAATCTGGATCCTAGCTAAGGATTCATAAGTTAGTAAAACATACTGTTGTCTCCCAGGTAATTCAAATGAGTCTGTAGCTTCCAGAGCAAGTTTTTTAAACATTCCTTACCATATTGCACTCATGGCTTCTTGAAACAGCTGTTCTTTCTCCTTATTCTTCCCTTGTCAAAAATACTAACAGGAAGTTAAAACCTCATCTGTTTTTCTCACTGGTAAATCTTTAAAAACAACCTGGTATTCAGTGTAAGTTACAGAATGTGTCAAAAATCTCGTGTCATCCAGTAAACAACATTCTCCATTGTAATATCTAGCATGGATTCAAAGTGATTCAAACTCCTGCCATCTTTTCCACGGTAATTTCTAGCCTAATTGCATTTTTATTGAGATTTAGAGACTGCTGCCTTGGATGTATAAGCACAAAAAAATCATTGTTCATGGGGAACTGATTATCCATTTACCTGTTAATATCTTGCAAATACTTTTTTGCAGTATACAACAGAAGTCACTTTGTGAGTAGCAGCTTCATTAACTGTAAAAGTAGCTATTGTTGTAGGCTTGTGTTAAATTCAGTCATAGCCCTTGAGCCAAGAGCTTCTGTGCTGACTGTACATTGACTGCTGACTTGGGTCTTCTATTCAACCTTCAGACTTAGAAAATGTAAATTAGGACGTATGGTGTTGTGTTTGTCTTTGCAAGGTAGCAGTGGATGTCTTGATGACCACTTAAAGTACAGTGATGAAGTGCTTAAAGTGAGTGAGAAAATGAGATGATGTGAAATGTGGAGCTACACAATCACTTTGTGGTTAGGTGGCAGCTTGCAAGGTTTGAAGGCTTGTCTGTCTGTTTGATGTCACAGGAAGTTGTTATGCTTGTAGAAAAGAGTAGATAATATGCAGGCCTTTTAGGCTTTTCTAATCTGGTTGATTTGTGAAGCTTTGTCTTTAATGAAATCTGGTTGATTTTTGAAGCTGTCTTTAATGAAATGTGGGCAAAGAGGTGAATGAAGAAAAGGAAATAATTTTTCTGTAGTGACTGTAGCATAATATTTCTAATGCAGATGTCTGTGCTGTGGCTTGTGCTTCTGCCCTGCCTATACAGAGCTAAGCAACATTTGGATCCCTCTGGCGAAGGAACTGAATGGGAGTTCAGAGTGGAGGCCTCCTTCAGAATTTTTGTTGGAGTGGTTTGAGGACTTGTGATGATTTCTATGGCCATAATAGATATTACTGATTTAAAAAAAGGAAAAAAAACCCCAAAACTCCAAATGAAAAAAAGCAGTATCATGTGTTATATGACAATGTAGTTTGCACTATCAGAGCTGTAGACCAGTAGTTATCTGTTGGACAGGCTAAAATACCAGACTGAAATGTGCTGAAGAAGTCAGAATGGACATCAAGCCCAGAGATGGAAGTTTGAAATCAAAGTGTTCTCCATAATTTTCTTGTAATTTTGATCCATAGTTAACGAAGAGTTTTTGTGGAAAGGAGTATCTTCATTGAGATTATGTGAGAATATTTTTATCTTATGTTAAAAATAAGAAAAGTAATTTTAGCATTTTCCCCCCCGATTATAGGTGTGGACTTGAAAGAGCTTAAGTCTTCTTTTTATGTTCAGAGGTTTTTAATTGCTTAATTAAACATTCACCTGTAGTTTGTAAGTCCTGATGGTGAACCTTGGGCAAAATTTACTTCTACATTTATATTCTAGAAAGGCCAAAGTTTTATTAACTTCAGTGTGAATGACCTTGAGTATTATGCAGCTATGCTGATAGCAAGTTTTGAAACACATTTTTAGTTTCTGAACCTAAAGTTTAGAGATATCCAGAGTGAGATTCCAGATTTTTATGTAGTAGAACAAATAAATATAAATTTAGTTGTTCAGCTGTTAAGTGAGCTTGTAAAATGAAAAAACCCTTCTTGATGCACTTCAAAACTGCTCAAGAAAATCTTAATTGAGGGTCAGACTCCACGATCCTTTGTTTTTGCTATGCCATAGGTTGAGGAAGCTTGGCAGTTCATTAATAGGCAAGCAAAAATCTGTTGTACATTTGCCACAAGTTAGCAAGACACTTAATTCCTTATTTACTTTAATATATTTATTTGCTAATATTCAGTAATTTTTATGGTCAGAAGCATGTTTGTTTCATTTTTGCTATGACTTTACACTAGCAAATGTATATTTTTATGTGTTTTTGGTGAGACTCAAAATTATCTGGAGCTTTAACTTTTGAGTTCCCAATCTATTCCTTAATGCCAGCATGTCAAAGATTAATATAAAAAGATCCTAATGTTTAAGGTGGGTTTTATTAGACTTTTAAATTGAAGTGTCTCTGAAAATGGAGAAATACGAAATCAGGCCTGCCTACAGTGAGCACTGAACATTTCCCATCAATTCTCTCTGCCTCCAGCCAGCAAACATTCTGGATTGTGTCAGTTTTCCCACCCTTGTGGCTCCCTTGGGAGGCAGCCTGGTTTTGCTGCTCCCTGCTGCAGGCAAGGCCTGTTCTCTCCTTCTCTAATCCATCTCCGTGGCCATGCTGGAGGCACTTTGCTTCCTCTGCTTCGCTGCCTATCCCATTTTACAGCTGATTCCTTGATTGCTCTTGGGAAAGGTGCCCTGTTGGGTTTTTTTCTCCTTCCCTTCTGGGTTCCTCAACCTGATGTGTGCAGCACTGAGGAGAGGCAAGACCACTCTCCTTCCTTTGTACTGCTCAGCTACACTTTCCTGAATAAAGCTGGCATTACCCAGAGAGTGAACTCTGAACAAACCAAAAATCATCGTTTTGCATTTCAGTAAAGGTAAAACATCAGCTCTGTCCCAGTTCGAGTTCAGAGCTTAATGTGTGTGTATCTTTTGCAAGCAATAGGGAAGGAATGAAGTGACTCAAGACTGAAACACAGTTAATATGTTGTGGCTGTGAACTGCAATGATTCCAGACAGCAGACAGATCAACAGTCAGCACCTTGTTTTCAGCTTTTCACAATCAAAGGGCAACTTGAGTGATCCAACAAAGTGGGGCTTTTTTGGCCAGCTTTGAGAGGGCACTATAGCTAAAGTGCAAGTTAGGATATTGAACGTATGGCACAATTGTTTAATAAAGGATATGATCACTAATGTGATGAGGGAAAATAGTTACAATAAAACCTTACAATGGATAAGGTTAGACCTCATAAAATATCAAAGGTAAGTGTGAGGTTTGCACAGTATATTACTTAGTTATATCTAAAATTTCATTTTATTTATGTGCCCTGGACATTTTCTCTCTTTTTCTCTAGTGCTTTTCCTTAGAAAATTCTATAAATTTCCATTTCTCTCTTGGGAAACACCCATTAGAGAAATATATACAGTTTGAGGATTAATAATTGTTTTTTTCTCTATTTTCTACATTGAGAGTATACTAGCAAGATTGTGTTACCATGGAGATTTGTTTTATCATTTTAGTGCTTTGGTATTAAAATAATTGTAAAGGAAAATCTTAGTGAAATACACATCAGGAAAAAGGCAGAAGTATCCTGCATGAATTTTTTGTGAAAACCCAGAGCTCACATTATGGGCTTTTGCAGTGCTTTCATGTAGGAAATGTGCCATTCTAAAATTATTGCATTTGGCAGACTAACAAGAATTCATTCTACGTGGCAGTAATTAACAGAAGAACAAGGCAAAAGGGTGCTTGACACCGAAGAGCTTGCCCAGTGAATTGTAGTGTATTGTGATAAAAAATTAAACACCGGAAAGACTATATGTTTGAAGGACATGGACTTTGATTTCTGTGTTTGATGACTCACCAAATATAGCAAAATATAACTGACATTCTCTTTTTCTCATATATACAGGATTTTTTTTTTGTTTGTATTTTGTATAGTTATATTGATTTATTAATGATACAGCAAATCATTCATAATTCTGGTACTTTTTTGTTCTTTCTGGCTGATAATTGTGTGTGAATTATGTTTAAATATCACAAGGTCTTGCTTTTCATTGCTTAATAAATCCTGTATTTACTATCTTCATTTATCCCTGTCTGCATCTACAAGTTAAGAAAAAAAAAATGCAAGGAAGTAGATGGATTGTATGAAAAGGGAATTACTTTTTCACACACACTTTAACAGGAATGAACTGTATTGCTGGCTGCTCACCTGTCCTCAGAGTGTAATGGTGGTGATCATTAAGACCAGAGTTACTAATTTCCTTTTAAATATATTTTTTCCTTAATTTCTAATTTTGAGCTGCTTGGGAGAGAGGGAGTGGGGTGAGGGACTGAATTTGGTGTACAAACTGGAAATCACACCTGCATTAAAAAAAAAGTGTAGAGCACTTGCACCTCATGAGTTTCTTTTCAGAGGCTTAAGAGACAGGGTGTTACAGCACCCCAGACTGGGTGATGTGCAGTGGTAGGCGCTGAGCAGTGGGTTAGGGTTGTTTGACATGAAGTGACTTTTTTCTAGCTTGGTTTAGTCAAAGGCTTGGAAGAAATTTGAGTGACTTTGAAGTTCAGCTTTTCTCTGAGCTTACTTGCTGGATACAGTGCTTTTGCTAATGAACTTGACTTCTAAAGAGGTATTTCCTTTACCTTAGAATCGGAAGGATTTCTCCAGTAATGGCAGGCAACCAGTCAAATCTGCACAGTACGAAAATCAGGTGTTAGCTACCTTCAGCCTTCATTGCTGTTTTGTCCTTGTGTCTGCACAGGATTGCTGATGTTTGACATTTATGGTAGGAGGTCTGTATTAAAAACAACCTTTGCTTCTCGAGTGTGGTGGTGTCTTTCAGAAATAGGACTTTGATAGTATTATACAGTGACAGGTGGGGGTTGAAGAACATATACCTCTGTGGGTGAGCGTGATCCTGATTTAATTGTTGCATGTGAATCAGACGAGTTCAGAGCGTGGTAGTTGTGAGCTGGTGCCATCTCTTAGCAGCATAAAATAACATCTTTTAAAATAAGCACTACTAGAGGTATGAGCTACATGCCCTGCTTGTAAGTGGCAAATATTTGGGGGATTTCTGTAATGGTTCCTGGTGTTTGCAGGAGGGCACAAATACACTGAGGGACAGGAGCTGGTGTTCCTGTGCTGACCATGTTGAAAATGTCAGTGTCCCTGAGGAGTGTTGGCAGGGACCTGTGGTTGAAGCTTGAAATGGGAATGGAATAAGTGGCATGTGGTTCTAGAGGGAGTCACATAGACAACAGTTCTGTCCTAAGCTTCACTGTAGCTTGAAGATGCAGGGGGAAGTTTCATAGCCTTATTAAACTGGTCTTAATAGAACTGGTAACAAAAGCACTTACACATAGGTCATTTTGTAGCTGCTACTGAAAAGGGAGAGGCTTGGTTACTTGTTTTGCTATTTCCTTGTGTAGGCTCTGTGGTTATCTTTTCTCTCTTGTGTTAGCTTTAGCTGTTTAGACCTTTTCATTAGTTATTTTCATGTGCAAGTAAGGTTTATTTGGTTTGTCGTCTTAATTTTGTCGTTGCTGAGAGTTTGAGCTGTTGACAGGCACATGTGATTAACATCTGATCAGTGTTGATAGTTTGAGTGGCAGTGCTTAACCAGGAGTGAAGGGAGGGTAACAGTGAAACCCTCCCGTTTATATGTGTGATTGTTTCCTTGTGTGATTTACCTCAGGAAATAGGTCCTGGTTCTGTATTCCTTACAGCTCCGTCTGTGCTGCTGAATGTCACTCCAGGGGCTGAGGTGCAGCACTGTGTGTGAGTGGCAGAATTTGTGCTGGTGCTGGGCCAGTGTCCTGCAGAGCAGGCTGGCCACCTTCATGTTGAGGGGGTCTCATTTGGGTCCTCTGTGGTACCTCCGGGGCTCTGAGCCTCAGTTAATCTCCTGTGAACCAATGTCTGAGGCAGGAGAGAGCTGTGTTGTGTAAGAGGGGGTTTTGTGAAACCAAGGGTTGTGTCACACAGAGGAGCTGTGGGAGTGTGTGAATGGGTGTGCTCTCCTGGAGAACTCTAGTAGGACCAGCTTGGTGCAGTCCTGTTATTGTGTCTTCTGGGGAGTGTTCCTCTGAGCTTTATTTTGAAAGAAAATTTGGACTCTCTGAGGAATATGGGGAAAAAACTAACATCAGTACAGAGTAGATGAGTGGAAAAATCAAAATACTACTTGAAATTACAGATGTACCTGTAAAGAAGTTTTGCTCCTGTTAACTTCAGTTTCATTTATATAACAATTTTCCTGATCATAAGTAATACTTCTTAATATAATATATTATAGTTGCTTTCTTTCCCTTTGTTGCAGCATCCCACTTACTTTTAGTCTTTGAAGAGAACTGTGTACTGTGCATCTATTACTTTTACATGACCCTGTAGTCTTAAAACTAAAGAAATTCAAAAGTATTTATGTTTAAATATTTTAATTCTCTTTTTATAATTTTTGCTTATTTCAGGTACATGCAGAGTTTCCTTGAGCTTTTAGAATACGAAAATAAAAGTCCTGAGGATCCTCATGTTCTGGATGAGTGAGTAATTTATTTTTTCTCACAGTCCATTATAAAATAATGTGTCTCAAATACCAGGTGTTTTTGTACTATAGGAAAACAGTTACTTTATTTGTAAGTTAGAATATGTATGGCAAAAGATAAAATTGTAATCTGGAGTAGAATGTAGGTATCTAAGTGCTTTTGAACAGTATATTTTGTATTTATGCAGACTGGTAGTTTAAGAAATGGCATTAAATGCTTCCTTCAAGGCTGTATTGAGAAAACAACTTGGATGGAGACTATATTTGTGTATCAGATACCTAAGACGAAAATGTAATTTTAGTATACATTGAGCTTAGTGCTCTGTTGTGTATAAAGTATGTTAATACATTAATAGTTTGATTTTCCCCCCCCCAGTTTGAAAGCATTCTAATGTGTCAGTCATTGTTTTAATCTAAAAGCTTTTTTAATGGACTTCAGTTAGTGGTGTTCACCTACCTCACTGAATAACATTACTTGAAAAGAAAGGAAAACTTAGCCAATTTTCTTCATCAACAAAGTTATATTAAAATTACCATTAGAATATTTCCTTGAAATGTGTATGTATAAAACAGAGAAGAACCCCACATATGAGAACAGCAGGTGCAACATATGCATCAGAGACTTGAAAACAAAACAGTGAAAACACACACGCACACCTGTCCAACAGTCAGGTCTGTTGCTACCCTGTATCTATAGCAGTCAACTTTGTTTCAGGATATTACTTGTTGCAGGTTTTTTGTTTCATTAATTAGCTTTCTTAGGGTAGTTTGTCTTTTGGATTTATTTTTAACCTCTAAAATCCTGCATGATCAAGCAGTGCTATATAGAGAGTTTCATAGAACATCTTGCTCTGTTTGTGCACCATGTGGCCTGTGTTGTGCAAAAATGGTGTTTTGCCTTCAGCAAACTTCATATACATAAATTGTGTTGTTACATTAGGTTAAATAAGGGCTTTGGGAGGTGCTGCATTCAAATGTTGTGCACTTTTGGTTGTGAGCATGTTATCTGAGATCTTGACACTTTAGCTTTTGTGTTTCAACCAATACATGTAGGAGAAGCTCAAGTGCAGGAGTACGAAGTTCCCTGCATGGCAGAACTGTAGAAGGAGCTATATGGAGTAAAAACTGCCTGAATTGTAGTGCTATTGAACAAGGGGAAAGTAACCATTTACTCAGAGTGAGTACTGTGCTGGAATGCTGCCTGCAGTTCTGGGTACTGCCTTTCAAGAAATTAAAACACTCATGGACAGCACTGATGTGAAAGGAACAAGATCACCTCTGAGTAATGCTGAAGGCATTTGTCTAGACTGGCAAAAAAAAGATACTGGAGTCACTGGAAGTCTGCGTGTGCCAAAAAAATAAGGTCACTGTAATAAAGGATAATTTGTTGCTCTAACTGAAGAACTGGAGAGTTAAAAAATGCCTAGTTTTTATTAAATTTGAGAATGTGTGCAGGGCAAAAAGTAAAGATTGTAATATTAATGAGAACAGACTGAAGGCTATAGAGCATCCATTTTAAAAGCTTATATAAATAGATTTAGTGGCATTCTAGGCATGCATATTCTATAGAGGATAAATGAAATAAATTTTTCAACCACCTCTAGCTGTCACATTTTGTGATTCTGTAGTTACTGTTTGCTGATGACACGGGAATTTCTGTTTGTGACTAGTTTATCAGCAGGCTTTCCTTTATGGGGTTAAGTTACCAAAACTTAGGTGTCTGTTGCCCTTTGAGATGGCATGAGCTGTCCTAAACACCTTAGTGAGCTTGGCAAATGTAACACAGGTCTTTTTAAGCCTGTAATGTCCTGGTTATATGGGTTAAGGCAAGGTGGTCTTGTAACTTCTGAAACCATCTTTGGTGTTCTGTGTTTAGGTAGCTGAATTTCAGCTTTTTATGAGCTTCAGAGGTTCAAGGTAGATCACAGTATAATAAATAAAGGCTAATGAGTAGTTCTCTTGGAGATGTAGCTTTAATCTCATAATTAACACATGAATTATCTGATTCTGCCATATGGATATGGCATTCTTGATACTGTTTCATGGGAACTGCAAATATTGCTTGTGATGCTCTATATGAGTATGGTAGAACAAATATTTCATAATGAAGCAAATATCAATATAATTTAGGATAACTGTTTGTTAACAGGTTTGAAATCTTGCAATTATTCTATTCTGTGTAATTAAGTACATAAAATAAGGATGTATGGAATTTATTGCTATTACTGAGGTGAAGTTCAGCTAGGGTCTTTGATAGTAAGCGTTGTCTTCTATACTGCATTTGACCTTTGAAAAGAGATTAAAAATGTATTATCTGATTAAACAGCAGATTAGTTCTTTTTGGCAGTATTGGATAGACTATCTAAGATTAGAAATCAAATTTACCTTCCTGCTCTGGGATGTCATCTGTTCCTAACTTAGTGACGGCTATGCCATTTAATTGCACATTGAACTGTAATTAGACTTTTTAAAATATTCTTTCCAAACTACATCTTTCAAAAATGCTCTTAACTATGTCCATATTTATCTTATGATAATACAGATAAATCGAACAAATTTCTCAACTCCCGTGTCAGTATTCCATGTTGCTGCTATCTAGCCCTATCCTGTTTTTATGTCTGGTGGTCAGAAGTGTATCAGTATGATCAGAAATATCAGGAATGCTGCTTTTCAGTGGGGAAAACCCCCACATTTGAGTTAAATCACATTTGCATAAAAGTTTTCTGTTCTTTCCTGATTGCACGTGCCATTACATATGGAATTTGAGCCTTTATCTAGAACTTTAAGTCCTAGAAGACACTTTAAGTGTCTTTAGGGATGCATAAATATGAATAGTTCTTTAACCAGATTGGTTTGCTTAAAGAAAAACGTCGAAGATTACAAGGTATGTCTGGTCCTTTGGACCAGAGCCCTTTTTGCAGGCAGTATCTGTGGGGTTCCTCTGCTCTTGCCAAGAGCAGCCTATAACAAGGGGCTGGAGCAGCTTCATCTCTTGGCTCCTTTCCACTGTCCTGTTCCTGTGTGGAACATGCTTTAGAACAGCACACTTTACATGTGAATGTTAGCAGGTATATGGCTCATAGTACAGAAGACCCAGCCTTTCATCCTTTAGTCATTGAATGCCCATCCTTGTCCGAGGCTTGTGGGATATCAGGTGATTTAGGCATTTCATGGTGGCTCCATCTCTTCTCCCTTAACTAGAGTCACAGGATGTGAGTCTTGCCCGGGTGGAAGTGCCTTTGTTCCAGTACCATCCCAGCAGCTTCTCTTTGGAACTGAACGTGCTCCATGCCTGTCCGCTTCAGACACTCAAAAAACATGAAGAATAACAGAGCAGTTAATTTTTAGAAATTAAAGAGTGCTTTGTTTGACTTCCTGTCAGCTAAGGTTGACTTCAGTTTCTGTTCTGGCTACTCAGGGTAACAGTAGCAGAGGAGAGAAGGAGAGCTAAACTGATCATTCATGGAGGTTGGATATCCACAGATGTGCTCTCTCAATGTTGGCAGTAGTTCTTCAATTACTGTTTTCTAAAATGGTGCAATGCTTTTATCAGTTGAACAGAAAACTGTTCCCTGACTATTTGTGGTTTTATCGCTGCTTGTCTGGGGAGCCTGCTGTGGTATTCTCAGAGTTAGGGCTCTCTTTCTGGGGAAACCAGTTTTTCTATTAATGTTATGGTATTATAGATGTCATCCTTGTACTGGCACGGCTGTGTGTGAGGCCACACAGTGAAGTGAATTGGGAAATGGATGTAGTAGAATAGCCCACTTTGAGCTCTGTGGTCCCCACACTGTTAGTGTGTGGCCAACAAAGGCAGCAGTGCCCCTGCAATGGAGAGGGTGAGTGGTTATAGGAGTTGGTGCAGAGACAAAACTAAAGCTGATGTTTTTCAGACTGGCCGAGCTTCTCTCTGCTCCTTGTGTATTAATTGGGCAAATGGATGTTCATGAGTTTTACCTTTTTGTGAATGTTGGACAAAATCCTTTGAAGAGTTTTTTTTTTTCCATTGGCATTGTTCTAATGAAGCATTTCAAAGTGTTTATGTTTTTCTATTGCCTTCTCTTGGTTAGCAGACTTTATGAAGCCTCACTGCAGCATTGCCACATTGCTGTCACTGTCAGTAGTATGGGCATTTGTCAAATGGTAGGTTACTTTTACCTTTTTGATAAGACAAGTACCTTTTTTAGCTGTAGAGGGGTCAAGTGGAAGTTTTTCTGCAGTTCTGCCAAACAGTGTGATAACAGGAGCCCTTAGATAAGGTGTCCACACATGGTGAAGGGTGCAAGCAGGCAGAAGTTTTGGAAATTTCCCAAGATGTCACTATCCAGTAAACACACAAAGGCTGAAGCTGTATTTCAAAAATTGAAGGGTTTGTAAAACATGCTGTTCACATGTGCTCTCAAAGGACACTTAGTGCAGCCTCTACACCCCCGAGTCTCTCTGCTGGTTTTTCTCTTTGTGGCACTCTCAAGGGAGGGTGTGCAGGGGAGTGTCCTGGAGCTGGGAGCCACTGAGGCCATCAGCTGCCAGCATGTTGGAGATAACATGCACAAGGAACTTGGTAAACAAGAACCTTCCTTTCTGCAGCATTGCAGTTAAAACAGTGGTTCTGTAAGCAGTTTGAGCTAAGTAAATATTGGAGTACATCTGATTAAGAAGCTGCTGTTTTGTTACTTTTATGTAATGTGAAATGCTACTTTAATTAGTTTTGAACTTTGGAAGTAGATATACTTTGTAGTGGAGAAATCTTTCAGATTGTGAACTTTTACCTCTCTTTCTTGTGATATTCATCTGCCAGTTAGCACTGATTCAAAAAAGAGCAGCCATTGAGAAAAACCTCAGATCATTGCATGTGTTGCATTTAAAAGGGTTTTTACTCATCACTTTTGTATTCTTCATCTTTCAGGTAACATTATCCATAAGAGACACTAAAAAAATACCCATTTTCTTTATATTGACTTTCTTATCCTTGTTTTCTTGTACTGTAATGATAGATCAAAACAGAATAATATATACAGGTTATTAGGAAGTTAATTAATGAATGTCACAACATGAGTTATTTCCTGTATTAGCAGAATTTTTTAGCCTTCATTTATTTAACAACTGTGGTAATGCCTTAAGTATTCTCTGTTAACGCAGAAACTATTGAAGCTCACTTAACTAAAGTAGCTTCTTACTAAGAATTATTTATCTGTCAAACCAACTGCATTATTTATTCTTTGTGGTTTGGAAAATACACAGAATTGTGGACAAAAAAATGTAATTGGTTAAAGAATTTTCAGAGCTGTTCTGGAGTATTCCTAGTTAATCCTGTAAACAGTTTAAAAAATCCTTGGTATGGTCTCCCACAGTTTGAGTACAGTAAAAGCTTTGTGGCTTTCAGGGGAGTAGCAGGTAGAGGGAGTAAGGAATGAGTGTTAAAACTAAGGAGATGTGTTCCGATTTCTGCTACTTTGAAATGTGCCTGTATTCCTCTTGTGTTTGCTCCTTTAAAAGCATCTGCTTAATGGAAACACTGAGTGAACTCATTTATCTTGGAAGATGGAACAGGAGTTTTGTCAAATCAGTGCAATAGTGAGGCATTCCTTTATTATATATTTAGTTTTATGCTGACTAAGCTCCAGCTATGATTTTGCTGATCTGCAGCAGATAAACCTAAGCCCTTTGCCCTTTTGCACGCTCTGTGCATTTAAGCACTTTTGTAGTGGGATATCAGTGAACAACTTGCCCTCTTGGCATCAGGTATATATTTTGGTTAGTGAAGATATTTAAAAGCAAATAGCAGAGCAAACAACAGTTAGGAGGGAGTGTTGTCAGTTGTGTTTCAGATGTGACTGGAAATTTTGCTTCCAGCCCTACCCTTCGCTAGGGCCTTGTTGCTCAGAAACAGAGAAGCAGAACAAGAACAGCCAGGCTCTGACATCACCTCTCAGAGGTAACAGATCACACAGACTCAAGACTCAATAAACACATAAGGTCTATAAACCTTTTTAAGCATTAAATGTTCTAAGCTGCCCAGTCAGCAAGACTGGTAAGAGAACAGTCATTCTGTACTGTGATAGGATTTAGAATGGGGAATTAGGCAGTTAAAACTTCCCTTTTTTTTATGCAACAGAGCAGTGTTGAAAGACTGCTGAATTGTTTGTTAACACACAGGCAAAAACTGGTAGCCAGACTTAGGATCAGAAAAAAACTAGTAAAAAGGGATCCTCCATTCCTTTGCAGCTGGCAGTGTAGGATGGGAGAAATGATCTTAAAAGTGTATCACTTGTTAAGAATAATATAAAAAAAAATTACTGTCTTGACTAAGTGGTGCTGAAAAGGAAGAAAACTTCCAATTTAAATGTTGTGACCAATGACTGGTCTTTTTTTCTTCTTGTGGCCTTTGTTATTTCCCTTGCTCATTTGCAGGGGGATTGGACCAGATGACCTTTCAGTGATTTACATGATTCTTTCATTAGCTGATGTATATTCTACTTTTGATAAAAGTAATGAATATATTTATTTTCAATATTCATTATAAAACTACAAAGAATGTTCTGTTGATGTTTTTTGGAAAAGGATCTGTAGAGTTGCAGATGCAGGCATAATTGAACAAGTCTTTCAGCTTTGCTTTCTTTGGAAAGCTGCATTTCACCGTTTGTACTTTCTATAACAGCATTATATAAACATCGTGGTGTTAACATTAATTTAATATTGGAGAATGTAGCAGAATTAAGTAGTACTGATTTTCCATGTTTCTGCTTTAGAAAGCTATTAATAATTGATATTTCAAGTATGTGTGGGTTTGCATATGGGGGAAGAAAGGATGAACACATTGAAGATCATAGGTGTTGAGCAGCCTTGGCAGGAGAAACAGTAATCCTCCAAGCTGTTTCAAAGGAAATGCTTGTTAAAAGCAACGGGAGTGTTATCTAAAAGTTGCCGAGCTCCGTTGTATTCACTCTGCCATCCAGTGGTGTCAGAGGAAACTGAACAGGAGTCACACAATTCCCTGTCCTGAGATTCTAACTCAGCCTGAGAGATGCCATGAGAGAGTTCAGCCGAGAGTTCACCATGGGGTGAGGTGTTGGGAAGAAAACACTAATTTTTCTAAGGAAATCATAAAGGGTGGTCAGGTTTTTTTTCCCTGAGTTTCATTTCCAGTCTCTCAGCTACTGTTAGGAGTTTTACGGGATGACAGTTATGGTAGTGCATATGATTGTGGTGAAAGAGAATCTTTTGCTATCCATCAGTGTTGAAGAGAGATTGATTTAATTTCAAGGAATATTTGTGGGAGGAATAACTTAATTTGGGGCTCTAAATGTTTCACAGGTCTTGTGAGTGGGAGGTTGATCAAATACTTCTCTTCAAATAGGCTTGTTTAGGTACTATATTTTCGTATTTTCCCTCTGGTATTTTGTTCTTGACTGGGAGGCACAGTAAATAGATAATATGGTTATGCTGTTGTTGAGTGTAGTTTTATTTCTAACATTCTGTTTCTAATTTTGTTTCCTCCAGCTTTTTAGATGTTTTAATTAAAGTCAGGAACAGACACAATGACGTGGTTCCAACCATGGCACAAGGGGTGATTGAATACAAGGAAAAATATGGCTTTGATCCATTTGTTAGCAGTAACATCCAGTATTTTCTAGATAGATTCTACACCAACCGCATCTCTTTTCGTATGCTTATTAACCAACACAGTAAGTAATTGCTTTTCTCTTGCTTGAAAACTCAATTATTGCTTGTAAATCTGAAGATGAAGCTTTGTTTTGTATTTTTTTCCCTTACTCATGACTATTCTATGCTAATCATGGCAAAAGAGATACTGGCAACTGGTTAATTTGGTACTTTGCAATGCTTAGAAATGAATCCAAAACACCAGTGTGCGTTCTTTTAGTCAGTCTTTGTTAGTGTGGCTGTTGCTTTTTAGTCTTGGTGGCTGAGGTGGCTTGTGAAGTGATACATAAAGTATTTTCAGGTAGTAGTAGAGTAGCTGTATCTTCCTACTCACAAAGCTTTCAATGTAGTTTGTAGAGCTCATATTTATTTCATAACGAAATGCAGAGATGCCATAAATTTTTTATAGGTTAGGTACTATATGTACTGGTTTTTCCAGCAAGTTGTCTAGACTTTCTTGCCTTCTAAAGAGGTTGAGTATTTCTAAGTGAAGTTTTAAATGATATCTCTTGTCTTCCCTTATGTCCTATTTCCTATTTATGGATAAATGCTGGAATTAGTTATCCTTTGTCATTAGATTCTGTTTCATTTGTTGTTACTAATAAACTCACTTTTTATATTCGTATTACAGAGTGAAGGGAGTTACTTGCACAGCTCCTATTAACCAGTATGTGCAACCATGCAGAAAGTGATCTGTGTAAAGTTAAGGACAGTCTTCTGATCTGTTTTAGTGTGTCTTGTGCCTTTTAGCTCTAGAGCTTCATTCTCTGCTCAGTGTTCTGCTTTTCTGAGCTCTTAGAAATTGTTGTATGCTACAGATAATGCAGATGGTGGAGTATGAGGTGTTTTACTACAAGTTGTGTGTCTTTCCAGCAACCTTTCATGTGACTAACAAATGCCTTGCTGTGTGTGTATAGATAACTTGAATGTGGCAAAGCATAGAAAATGAGATAAATGTACAGCTTTTTCTTTACTTGCACCTGGGCAGAGAAGTGACAGACATAAAACCTAGTTAAAAGGCTTTCAAAGAAGAGTTCTAGCAATAGAGTACAGACATTGTCCTAATATAATTCTTGGGCTGAGTGCTAGCATAATTTGCAGTAATCTTAAAATATAAAACTTGATTCATTGAACTGAACTAGCTTTTCCTATGGGTCCTCCTCTTTAACTGGTTGGAGCTTAAAACTGCTTGTAGATGCTTAAAGCTCAGTTAACCTTGTATAATGTCTGTGTGTTAGCAGTGTTAGTGGTCTGTCTCTGATGGCAAATACTAATCTTGAAGCACTGAAGAGAAAGCTAATTGGAATGCAGAATGCAAATGCAGGTTTTAGCATAGTTTGCATTTAGTTCCTACATTCCTGTCAGACTGTTTCCTACAGAACTGCTCTGCAGGACACAGTGCCCAGTGTGTGAGCTTGGTGTGCCCAGGGTAGGAAAAGCTTTCAGATCTAGACTTTTGCTCACCTCATGCTGCACCTGCTTCATGTCAGAGCTCATTAACTTGCAGAAAATCACTCTTGAAATAAAGTACAAAACCTTTCTACTTCTCTGGGAGTCTTCTTTAAACTCTTGGTGAAGGGTCTGGTGAGTACCAGACCCTTGTACAAAGAGGGAGTGGGGATCATACTGCTGAGATCCAGGGAGAAAGTCGAGTGAGTGAGACCTCTGTGACAGCTGTGAAATTGCAGCTTAGGTGAGTGTAAAAGGCTTCTAATGATGCCTTACAGTTCCACAGTCCTTTTTACTGTGATGTTTTCATTATTGTGAGTGCTTCTGTTCTGACATAATGGTATGAATGAAGTGTTTTATGTTCTAATTTTACCTAATTTTTGATAATCTGCTTTGAGATGTAGGTTTTTACCTTAACCCTCCTATGAATTCTGCTTTTACTAGTCTTAACTGTAAAGACTGAAAATAAAAAAAAAAGGAGGGAAGATGAGCAGTTAGACAAGTAGTCTTCTTAAATGAGGATTCTGACAATTTACTGGAGTATCTTTTTACAAAATGATGCAACATCCAGTAAATCTCAGATACCATCAGATTCATACTTTCTGGCCTGCCTCAAGGGTAATAAATAATTTGCTACGATTTCTTTTTTATTTTAGCACTTCTGTTTGGTGGAGATATTAATCCTGCTCATCCCAAACATATTGGAAGTATTGATCCTAATTGTGATGTGACAGAGGTGGTTAAAGGTAAGATGAAGTTAATATTTTTGTTACTGAAATCCCCTAACTTAAAATATTCAGATATATTTTATTGAGAAAGAAGAAACTGAAGGTGATTTAAGTCCATTTATTCTTTTCTTATTTTATTAAAGGAAAGTTCTGCTTACAATAAAGCCCTGGGCTTATTGAGACTTTCTAATGTCTTCATCATTGAGAAGAGAGAAACTTTTGGTCTGTTACCAGAACTAAGAAAGCAATTTGATTTTTAATAGCTTTAGTCTGTGCTTTTAAATATCAGATGAAGTGTCTAAATGTTTTGATAAACTTCAGATGTTTTCTTCCTGAAATACTTAGAAGCAGGTTCTCGTGTACTGCTTTTGTATCTCATGCTGGTATTACAGAAACTGAGAGTAAGTGAAATTTCCATTTTGTTTAGTTTTGTTTAGCTAGGCCTTTTAGTAAAATGTCGTCAGGTGTACAGGTGTCCCAGTGAAACTCCACATTGCTCTGTCATCTGATCATAGCACAGCCTGTTCTGTCTCTTGCAGAAGACATGGATGTGATGGTTGTACCTGACTGATCTGGCACAGTCACACTGCAAGCCCTGTTTGCTCTGTGTTGTGAATATTTACATGCTTTCAGAATGTTAGCAAGGGAACATGAGGCAATGCTGCCTGCTTCAAGAACATCTCCATGGGAGGTTTGCACTCTGGGTTGTGTCTATTTGCAAATGCAGGTGCTGCTGTAGGAGAGAATTCTAGGCTCTGTCCTTTGCTGCTCTTTGTGCAGCTGCAAAAGGGCATAGAATGTTTCTCCCCTTCACTTTCTCTCAGCCTTTGGTGAGGTGAGAGGGAAACCTTTCTTATCTCAAAGTCTGACCTGTATGATAGCTCACTTTGTAGTGCTTTTTGCCACTCTCTTACAGCTTTTTTTCTAGCTCTTGTGGCCTTTTTTTCAGCAGCTTTTTTTTCTTTTGATTGACCTTATTCCACTTTGGCATCAACATTTTATATGTAAACAACTGTGTTGTTTATTTAGCTTTGCCTTCAAGGATATCACTGATATCCTTGCAATATTTGGATAGATTTTGATCATCAGATTCACAGTTGCTGCCTTGGACAGGGGAGTGCATAGTGTCAGAAGGTGCTAAGTCCAGTCAAACAGGTAGCTAAAATAGATCATACACAACACTGACCAAACAGTGTCCAGTGTTGCCTTTCAAAGAAACAAAATGGCCTTAAAGACAGAGTCTGTGTAGTCCTGTCAAGGTGATTGAGGCCTTTTCCTTGTAGAATTGGTGGAGGGATTAATTTATGTTCTGTATGCTGTCCAATTTATGTTCTGTATGCTTCCCCAAATGTTCTGGTTCACAGGCAGCATTCTGAGCAGTTTTATTTGGGTACTGTGTCTGGCAGCCATAAGCCCTGTATGCCCTTCAAACAATGTAGAACTTATTTAAACAGCCACATCTTGCTTCGAGCAGCTACACCAGGTGTTGTGTTTGTGCTGCCTGAGGTGGTGTTCTCTGTCTCGCTGGCTGTCCTGCAACAAGTCTTTTGAGCTGACAGCGAATTCAGGTTTTTTGCTGGAGCCAGGATTTTACATTTACCAATAGATCCCTCACTGCTACTGCTGCTTAATCTCCATCCACACCATGAAGCATGCTTTGAACTTCACAGCCTCTTCCACAGTCTTAGGACTCTGCCAGAGAGTTGGCTTTTAGAGGAAGATTAAATGTTAGACTGCACTCAGACTGTTTGAGCCGGATTGGCTAAGCAACTAATCAGAAATTTTTCAAATACAGAATTAAAGAATGGGTCAGGTTGGAAGGGAGCACAGCAAATCATGTGGTTCAACCTACCCCCCTGTTCAAGCAGGGCCATCCCAGAGCACGTGGCACAGGACTGTGCCCACCTGGTTCTTGAACATCTCCAATGAAGGAAATTCCACACCCTCTCTGGGCAATCTGTGCCAGTGTTCAGTCACTGCACAGGGAAGAAATTCTTCCTCATGTTCAGGTGGAACTTCTTGTGCATCACTTTCTGCCTCTGGTCCTATTGCTCAGCATCACAGAAAAGAGTCTCCAAAAGGCTCCATCCTCTTGACACCTCCCCTGCAGATACTTTTAGGCATCGATGAGGTCCCCTCTCAGTTTTTTCTTCTCAGGGCTGAACAGACTCAACTTCCTCAGTCTCTCTTTGTAAGAGAAATGCTCCAGTCCCTTAATGATATTTGTTGTGCTCCACTGGACCGACTCCAGGAACTCTGTGTCTGTCTTGTCCTGAGGAGCCCAGAACTGGACACAGCACTCCAGATTCCTCTCCCTGGGGCTGGGTGGAGGGGCAGGATCCCCTCCCTGACCTGCTGGCAGGGCTCTCCCTGATGCACCCCAGGATCCCGTTGGCCCTCCTGGCCCCAGGGCACTGCTGGCCCATGGGCAGCTCATTGCCCACCAGGACCCCCAGGCCCTTCTCTGCAGAGCTGCTTTCCAGCAGGTCACCCCAGCCTGTGCTGGTGCCTGGGCTTGTCCTTCCCCAGTGCAGGGCCCTGCAGTTGCCTTTTCTGAATTTCAGGCCATTCCTCTGCCCATCTCTCCAGCCTGTCTCCCTTCTGAAGGGCTGCCCAGCTCTCGGGGGTATCAGCCACTCCTCCCAGCTCTGAGTCTTCAGTGAACTCGCTGGGGAGGCCTCTGCCCCAAGTCACTGATGAATAAGTTAAACAATATTGCTCGTATTGAACCTTAGGGGACATCTCTAGTGACAAAGGGTAACTTAAACTTTCTACCTGTGTTTCAAGCCTGATTTGGGCTATGGGGAGGTATTTTCAGGGGGAGTAATTTTTCGTTCAGTGGGAAGAAATTAAGACTCTTCTCTAGCTTTTCCCCCAAGAGACCTTGAAAATTAAGTATTAAATTGTCATCAGGAAATAAAAAATAAGTAGATTTTATGGTCAGTACATCCTTCTAATTTTCAAGCCCTGAACAAGGAAGAAAAATAGCTTCCCTCCACTACTGTGCTTTTCTTTGTAGAGCTTTAGATAGAGTTTTCCCTTTCCTGACAACTGGGCTCTGAGTATAGATAGGAAAAGGGTTAGATTGGATACCAGCTTCATGCTTGTAAACTAGTGCTCAGAGTGAATGTTCTGTTTGTGGTCTTTCACAGGGAGGATGGACACTGCTGGTCATCACTAGAAGATTTTGATAAATCAGTGTTTGTTCTGTTATTTTGTAGATGCTTATGAAACAGCTAAGATGTTATGTGAACAGTACTATACCGTGGCACCTGATCTGGAAATTGAAGAATTCAATGGTAATTATTAAATTAATGTAACTGATGTAAGAAAATGCATTTCTGGTATCTGTGATTTTTAGTTTTGTTATTTTATTGTAAGTTCTAGTTTGAACTAAGCAGTTACTTTTGTTCTAATATTTAAACATGAACACCTGAATTATTATTATCATGATATGTACTTCTTTATGTTGAATGCAGAGCTCAATCTTGCTAAATTCACTACTACTTTAAAGAAAATAATCCAAGACTTCTCATAACTGAGAAGGAAACTTCTGATCTTCTAACAGAACTGAAACTTGTTTCATTCTGAAGTAGGCTTATAAACCCGTGAATTCCACTGCCTCTCTCAACACAGTGTAAGATGGCAAAATTGGAATTTTTAGTAGGTAGTTTATGCTTTAAATCCTATCACAAACCTCTCACATGAAAATCTGTTTCAAGTTGATTGCAGAGATGATAATTGGATGGCACAAAACTGATGAGACAGGCTGTGTCAGCATATTGACTGCTTTTTGTTCATTATTTTATTGACAAAAGGGAGCTTATTTTTTTTAGTTAAAAAAATTTTCCTGAGTGATCCTCTCCAGATTTTGGACAATAGCCAAACATAAGACTAACTTCCAAACTTCAGCAGAAGAATTGCAAAAGTCTCAGAAATAGGTAACACTCAATGGTAGAGTGTGATACTTGGAACGTGTGTTGCTCAAAGAACTACTGGGTAGTTTGGAAATATTTCTGTACACAGGGTGCTACTGTCAGCAATGATGGATGCATTGTCACCCATCTCTCCCAAAACCAAAGGACCTGACGTTCCCCTGTTAAACTGAGTGATTCTAGAGAGAAAAGTACTGAGTGTTGCACCAGAGGAATCAATCAATGCAAAATTCATCTGAAGGCATAAGTAAAAAGATCCAACAGTAGAGAAAGCAAGTTGCTGGAGCTAAAAAAAAAAAGTGAATAAAGAATTACATATTTCCATAAGATCAGCTTATTATCAGTATAGGGAAAGCAACTTTGCAAATTACCTTGCAAGAGCAACAATAACTCATTTTCTGTCTCTGTGCCTCAAACAAGTGTGAGTCAGTTTGCCTTGGTTTCAGTGAAGCATGAAGGAATGGGAGTATGGACTGACAAAATTAACAGAAAAAAATGTCAACTTGCCTTGCAGAGCATTGTTTTGGTCTTCTCCTTTTCCTAGGAGTTTTCATTACCATGTCTCTTAAAACTGAGGGATTATTACAAGCCCTCAGTGCCAAAAGGAATGAAGTTGACTCCAGTCATGTTCTTTACGCATATTTATATCTTCCTGGAATTCATGAAGCAGACAGTTTGAGACTTCCCTTCAGTCTGAACTGCTGCTCAGTCTGACTCTCTGTAACTGCATAATTTAATGCCAGTAGATATTTGAATGTTCAGGGATGACTTCATCTTCAGCTCCAAAACTGTCCTGGGATGTATGAAATGCAGCTGTATAATTTCCTGCCCAATCAATCAGTGAGCACTCTGGCATTCAGACCTGTGCCAAGCCATACCCCTCTGCTGAAACACTCACGGTGGGACAGCAGTGCACAAACAATTCAGTGATGGTTTGGAATATGGAAGCTGGGATATTGTTTGAAGTATATTTGAAAATTTTTGTGAATACTTACACAAAAATTTTGTGTGTTTTAATGAAGGGAAAATATGTAGTTGATTTTAGAATATTTAAACAGTGGGTTTTTCTTTAGTTTAAGGATCGTTTTGTGCAACAAATATTATGCTTAAATAATATGTGAGCATGTAGAAGTTTCCCACTTAGTTAGGAATGTTTTCTTGGTTAGCATGCACTGTTGTATGAAACCAACTTAGTGAAGTTTCATATCTAAACAAAGTCTGCTGACTGGATGGATTTGAAGATCATAATTATAATGTGTTCTTTCAGGTGATAGCAGTGACTAAAATGTATGTTTTTACTTCATGGAACTAATTTCGCACTGGGAAAATTAGAACATGCTTACGTACTTGTCTGTGCCTACAGGTTCGTGTTACTCTGGTAAATAGCAATGCTACAAAATATTGTTGTGAAGAAAAATGATCTGACATTTTTATTTATTTGTTTTTTTTTTTTAGCTAAAGCTCCCAACAAGCCTATTCAAGTAGTCTATGTACCTTCTCATTTGTTTCATATGTTATTTGAATTATTCAAGGTAGGTTGCACTTATTAATATTTGGGAGGGTTTTGTGGACCTATTTCTGTTGAAATTGAGATTCCTTTCAGTTACAGCTCTTAAATGTTATTTCAGTTTTCCTTTCTTAAGCTTATTCTTAAGTTTCAAACACTCTTCAGTTGTTTAAGAGCCAGACTTGAACCCTTCTCTTATGACCCTGTGTACTTAAAAACTGCCTGGTTTCCCACTTTTCCTGTTGTGCTCTTTTAGTTATTTTTTTTAATTAACTTGGAACCCTCATGACAGTCTAGTTTTGCAGTGATGGAATATTCATAACCTTGCAGCTCTTCTGAGCTTGCTTCTTTATTGCATATTTGAGGACTGGTTAGGATCAGTGTCTTTATTGTGAAAACAAGCCCTGTATCTTCAAATAGTGTAGATGACATGCTTTGTTTTGGTTTTGTGTTTTCTGAATAATTGTAACAAGAGTGCAAATGGAACATGTGAGACCTGTTACATAGTTTGAAAGAAGAGAGGAGGTCTCTAAGTGATGAGCTGAACACCAGAAATTGAGAGGAAAATTTGTATTTGGCCAGAGAGAAACTTTTTCTAAGTACTGTTTTTTGGGGTTTGATTTCTGACATTTGTCAACTGTGTTCATTTAAGTCTTCTCCCATTTTGCCATTTAACGTTAGTTTTGGAGCAGAACAGATGAGAATTTGTACAATATGTTTTTGGTACAAGTCATGAAACAGGCTCAAGTCAGTAAGTTGTAGCTGTAAAGAACTGGGCCTGGCACTGGAAACTGTTAACATGAAGTCAGACTGACAGATGGTAACTTGTATGTGACCTAGGCTGAGAAAATCAAAACTAGCTTTCTGTGGTGAATGTCACTGTTGGTGTGGTGCATTATGGAGGTGAAGGATGTTCTCATCCTATGAATGTATTTACTGGATTTCACACAGGACCAAAAAAAAAAAAATTTATTTTCTTTTCTCTGACTATATCAAATAAATAAAAGTTCTGTATAACAACTTATAATGTAAAAATTTAACTGGGCAATTCATTGACTTGATGGCGCTTGAACTTGTGTTAAATACAGGCTTTTCTATCTTGTACACAACTGTAGGACAGAGTAGATACTACAAAGTAAATTCAAGTTCTGACTTGTCAGAAAAATCTTATATGTTAAAATTAGAATCAAAGAGGCTGTTTTCTTTTATCTTCAGAATTCAATGAGAGCTACAGTGGAATTGCATGAAGGTAAGAAAGAAGCCTATCCATCGATCAAAACCTTAGTCACTTTGGGGAAAGAAGATCTATCTATTAAGGTAAATGCCTAAAAACAATACACATTGCAAACCTGCTACGTTTAGAGTAGAATGACTTTTAATTTGAAAAAGCAAATTAATTATTGTATCATCACCTACTTCATATTCATTAGAACAGAATATTTTCAGTTGGGAAGGACCTACAAGGAGCATCTTGGCCAACTCCCTGACCACTGCAGGGCTGACCAGTAGTCAAAGCATGTTTGTTTGGGGCAGTGTCCAAATGCATCTTGGTCACTGACAGACTTGGGCTATTGACCATCTCCAGGAAACCTGTTCTGCTTTCATCACCCTTCCCATACAGAAATGCTTCCTGATGTCCCCTCTAAACCTCCCCTGATGTTCTTTGAACTATTCCCACATGTCCTGTTGCTGGATCCAGGGAGATGAGATCAGCACCTCCCTCCCAGTTCCCCTCCTCAGGAAGCTGTAGACCATGGCAAGGTCATTTCCCAGCCTTCTTTTCTCCGAGCCAAACAGCTCCTTTAGTTAATTTCTAAAGTAATTTAGATAATGCTTCTTGATGTTTTGTGGGTTTTGTTCAGAACCTAATGTTTAAAACTCTTCAATTTTCATTCCTTAGATAAGTGACCAAGGTGGAGGTGTACCTCTAAGAAAAATAGAGAGATTGTTTAACTACATGTACTCAACAGCACCCAGGCCCAGTCTGGAGCCCTCGAGGGCTGTGCCTTTGGTAAGTAATTGCAATATATATTTAAATGTCTCTTTGCACCACTCTGATTTTACATTTCCCTGTACTGCAATCTGCTGGATCAGGTTTTCCATTGAGGAAAAGCTTTATCATGAGCAAGTCTTTCCAGGTGCAACAGGAGAAAATGAGTTCTGTTATCACTTAGTCTACAGAATAGAAAATTACTTTGCTTTGTCTTGACATTACATTCTTGGAAGCAAGCATGAAAAGCCTGCATAAGCACAGTATTTTCACAGGTTAATGGGCAGGATCATTAGTGCTATATTACTGAGCAGGTGAATGATCTAATGACCTTCTCTTTGATATATAAATTACTGTTAATCTAAGTTTTCTCTATAAACTGATTAAAAAGCTGGGCCACACTGCTCAGCACTTGAGAAGCACCTTCTGGCAATGCACAAGCTTATACTGAATCTTGAAGATAATTTTTGTCTAAGTTATGGACTGTAAAAACACATCAAAAAAACATTCCTAATCCTGTATGTGGTATGAACATATTTGGTATATTCCTATTTAATTGGAAATATCTTCTGTGATACTGCTTTCTGAGATGCATCAGGACCGTATTTCACATAAAAAAATACTTCCCCATAGTCTCCTTTAAGCAGGGAAATTATTTCAGTGTTGAATGTGTAGATTCTTTTAGCAAGCATGATTTAAAAAAAAATTAAAATACTATTTCTAAATTGTTTTATTAAATTGCATATTGACTCATTGTAATAAAAGTTGTGTAGCTGCTGTTCCACTTGATTGGTTTTGGTAAGTGGATTAATACAGATGCTGTATTTTGCCTCTTCTCATCTCTGTTTCTTCTGAGGCAATCCTTTTTCTGAGGCAAGCCTGTTGAGAAGTTGATTCTCTAAGAAATTTCCTGTCCCTGCTTAGGAGCATTCTTACCTAGCGTGTTCCTGAGTAGTTGGGGGTTTTTTTCTCCCCTACTGATATTTCTGTGCTTCAAGTGCCTTCAGATGGATAATGGAATGTGGGGCAGAGTATGGAATCACAGAGGATTGGCAAGAATGGAAGTGACCTCCCAGGATCAAGTCCAGCCTTTGACCAGACACCCCCATGTGAATTAAACCACAGCACCAAGTGACACGTCCAGTTGTTTCCTGAATGCTTCTAGGGCTGGTGACTGACTCCAGGACTTCCCTGGCCAGCCACTTTCAATTCTTGACAATCCTTTCAGTGAAGAAATTACTCCTGATGTGCAACCTGAACATCCTTGGCACAGCTTGGGGCTGTTCCCTCTTGTCCCTGTCGTCCCTCTTGTGACTATTTTGGATATAAAATATTTAACAGTAAACTGAGGGTAAAAATCAGTTCAGAGTGACTCAGAGGAAATAAATTTCTTCCTAGCTTATGAGCAGAAAGTCTTTATGGTGCTGCCTTGGTCCACAGTGGGTACCATTGTGGCATGGCAGTGCATTGCACTGGGTTTACTCCTTTGCACTGTGGGAGGTGTGAAACCCAGTCCTGTGTCTGCACTGACTTCGTACTGCTCCTTCACATCTCCTACCTCTACAGCACATCTCAGTCTTACGTTTCAAACTTCTGCTTTTTCATAGAAAATCATCTTGAATGTGGCGAGAGGCAACAGGCCCTAATTCAAATATAAGCTTTTTTCTGTCACAAATGGTAGAATCTCTCTTGATGCATAATTTGCCTTTGTTCTGTCTCTCTTCTGATCAGCAATTTACCATATCAGTCTACAAGGATTTCCTGAAACTCGTTCTCAGGATAAACTTATACCTTGATTACCAGTTGTATTCATTGTTAAACTGAATGTTCCTTGTAGCTCTGATTGTAAAATGTGTTCATATTAGGACTGACACTATTCTTTCTTTTTTTTCAGTGCATCTCTATATTTACTTCCTCATCTTCAAAACTGCTTACTTTGATTCTGTGGCATTTATCCTTGGTGTTCTTCTGTATCCCATTTTCAGGCTTTATTTTCCTTTCCCAGTCTATGCCGCTGTAGTCAAACCTACAAAAGATCCCCCTCTCTTGCGAGTCTGGCAGCTTTTGCCCTGTGAGTCGGTCTAGTGCCTGCACAACACTGAAAGTTGAGAAAAGTTGTTCAGTTCTGTTATTTATACGTGTGTGCAGAAAGAAGAAAGTCATAACTGTGAGTTCCACCAACAGGAACAAGGACTTAGTAGTGAAGTTTGACATGTTATGTGTTATGGCCCAGATCCAGTTATAAAAACAATTATGCAGTGCTCTGTATGTCAGTCTGGAAATAAAAATCCTCCAGAAGAAAGGTTCCACATAAATCCTCTTTGATGTCCATACTAAAGGAGTTTCTTTAGTGCCAAAGACCAAACCACTAAAGAATTAGTGTTGCAGAAGGTTGGTAGTGTGTCATCCTTGACTTAGGTAATATTCTAAGCTAAGTTGGGGTGAAGTGTAAATAGACATATTTTTCTGTTCTAACATTTTTTTCCTGTTGTTATATGTTCCCTGTCTAGTTTATGAAACATTCATGGAACAGGGCAGTGAAAGAGAGGTATCCTTATGTTGATTGGGGAAAATTTTTGCTCCCTGTCATTGCAAATGTTGTTTAAATCCTGCTGAGAAACCTTGTTACCATGGCAGCATTCAGATCCTAGCAGGTCTTAGGTTCATCTGCACTGCACATAGAGTACAGATTAAAACGCATGGTCATGTTTATTGATGGTAGGTTTTCTTAGTGATTTAATGGTTCTCTCTCTGACATCATTTGTTTATAGCAGGAAAAACATGGCTTAAATTAGTTCCAATTAAAATCTGTCAATGCTGGTAACACAGAAATGTAAAAACTTCCTTTTTGTTTAATGCATACCATAACATTTAATGATAAATTTGCTTTTTCCTTTCCCAAAGCAGATGTGCCATCATGGACTGTTCTGTCCTCTAAGTCAAGTACAGATCTATGTAGTAAAAACCTCTTGTTAAATGTCTTTTGCAAAATAGACCCTTTGCAGGGCCAGGATTTAACAAGGTGCTCATCTGGGGTCTCTTGTCTCTGTAGTTGTTGCAAGTTGTTACCTGGTTTGGACAGCACCCTAAAGGCAGTGCACAGAGAGGCTGACAGGAAATATTTGAAAGAGGATGTATGAAATAATGATGTGGGCTAGCACAGAGCATGAGGGAAGAGGAGACAGACAGAAGTTGGCTTTTAAGGAGGGGTGGTTCTGGAGTGAGGAAAGTTTTCAGTATTGTTTGATGTTGCCCTTTACTTGAGCTGATCCTTGGGGCATGGACTGTCCACAAGTTGACTTTTGGTCGCTGTGCTTTATAATTTCTCTTATATATTTATTATCCAGCCTCCAGGAAGAGAGGAGGTCAACTTTTGACCTTTTTTTAGTTATTTCTAAGACAGCCAAATACATTTTTTAGAGGTTAAGAAAGAAATCTCTGAAGCTTCAAGGCCAGGTATTTGAAAGTGATGCATATGTCTCTAGTGAGAGATGAAAGTTCTCTTTGAGAAATATAGAACATGATGTTGGGAAAAGTGTAGCGAAACAATTGTTTTGACTCTGTTAATGGACACTAATAGCTATGACAAGCAGTGTGAAAAGGGCATATTTGACATTTCTGTGTCTCATTTTGCTCAAAAGAACTGAGTGAGCAACTGTAAACCAATTTAATACTAAATTTAGAATTCTGTAAAAACAAGGCAAAAATGGCCTAAAGATATTGTAGTAGATGACAGCAAGAGAATTTGTCATGGACACTGTAGTACAAGTTCTTTAATGTTCACTTTTCCCTCAAGGGATTTCCTATCAAGTGATGCCACATACTAGCTGTACATAATGCTTGCAAATTCTTCTTAACATTCTATTTTGTATCATTTTAGGCTTTTGTTTATAAAATTCAGGGCATATTTATTACTTTTCTGTCAAGTTGCTTTTGTAGAAATATTATTGTGGAATTAATTTATTGTTTTTCTGAAAGCTTCAAGTGTCTATTTTCTCTTGTAGCCCACCCATATTGCCTTGCCTTGTATATGTTTGGGTTTTTTTTGCAAATGCTTCTGTATTTGGAATAGTTCCTTTATTGCACTGGATAGTCCTGAAGAATTCAGGTGGGATTTGGACTTAACCTTTTTTTTTTTTTGGCATAACCAGCCACTGTGGTTCTCAGCACACAGCCAGTCATCTGAAAGAGTCACGTGTCATGCTTATTCCCTGGCTCCAGTGAGAGAGAATTGGAGGTTTTCTTACGACTTTTCTGACAAGAGAGGGTTGGAAGAGGTGCCATGTGATTGATCTTGTTGCAGGCATGGTTATGAATATCAGTTTTGTCAATTTAAAAGCTAAACTTTGTACCCATCAAGTCCATTATGCTTTGAAAATTGTGGGGGCTGTACTGTGTCTCAGTCCTCAGGAGATCATGCAGTGCTGTGGAATCCTGATCTTTGTTAAACAGAGAGGATAATTTGCCTTGTATTAGTCTGTGTTCCTCTGCAGGACCCTGCTGCTCTCTGTGCCATCAGCAGTCACTTAATAGTGTGACCCAGATGAAGTGGACAAGAGTTGTCTTTGGCTTTCTTGTGTAGTCTGGAGACATTTGAGGGAACGATTGCAGGCTTGGGGAAGAAAAACTCTGCTGTCAGAACTCTGATTTTTTCCAAAGAAAGAATGCAGTACTACAGCAATGGTCCTCACAGTGAGGAAGCTGCGTAGGGCATCGGTTGCTTTGCTGGTTGCCAGCAGCATGTCTGGTGTGCTGCACATACCTACCTCTGAGAAATGGACAAGGGACTTCTACCAAAGGACTCGGCCCTTTTTGTACTAATAAGTAATGCACAAGAAAAAAGGAGTTTGCTCAAAAAGCTGAGTATGGGTAGAGTATAAGCTGAGAAATAAAGGAAAGCTTCAAAAGTAATTTGATACAAATCTAATATTTAGCTGTCCTCTCTTTTGTAAGTTAATACAGAGTTTACTGTTGCATTTTTTTAACTTCTCATCATGTTTTTCCTTTTGTCTCTTGTTTTTGCAGGCTGGGTTTGGCTATGGGTTGCCAATTTCTCGTCTGTATGCGAGGTACTTTCAAGGTGACCTTAAACTCTACTCAATGGAAGGTGTGGGTTCAGATGCTGTTATTTATTTGAAGGTATGAATGTCACCCTTTTATAAACTAGTAATGCAATGTAGGTTGTTTGTAACAGGTTCTTTTCACTCCTTAGCTGGTTTTCAAATTTCTTATTGCTATCTTTGACACTTTTACCTAAATCTGTTACATAAAATCCTAAACCCCAAGGTTTTATATAACAATCTGGCACCAATACTAGTTAGCTTGCTGTGATTTTCCCTTTGTTGGATTGTTGTATTTTGTTAACCTGTCATAAGTGGTGAATCTTCCAAGAACTGTGATAAGAGATAATTTTGGTTCGTGCTTTTTGATTCTAATTTTTGGCCATAATAGAAATTACAAGAATATTGGCCAACTCCTGACTAGTAAATATGTTCTATTCTATGAAGTTCTTGATGCAGTAAACTGTATAGATCCTGTTATTTTCTGGGACAGCCCAGGCTCAGGGGCTAAAGGGTGACACTGCTTGAATTCCATCAGAATTTAAAAGAACAGTGTATAGCTTGTGTAGGTTGTTGGCTTTGCACTGTCACTGTGCCCTGCTCTATATGGCAAATGAGTTGTGGACTCCTCTGCTTCTGATGGGTTTGATCCTCTGCATGTGTGTGTGGAGGAAAAGGATCTGGCCTTTCTCAGAGGAAAAAGGTGGCCCAGGGCACTGAACTGGGTCAGCCCCCACAGGTCAGTGTACTGGCAGAGCCCAAGTGCCTTGGGGAGGGAAGTGTTGAAGTAGCTGTCTGCTTTATGTCAGTGACAAATCCCACTAAAATGTTTTGTGACCAAAAATCTTTTTCTTGCCATCTGTGTAGACACCACTCCCTGGAATGAAGGGAAGTATTTTTCAATGCTATTATTTTCTTTTAACTTTGACTGCAACTTTGAGTATAACTAGAGCTACTAGTCATAGCTCAAGTATTTTCAAAGTAGTGCTGTGACATGCAACACTGGGATAATTGTGACACTTGGGTACAGAAGTTGTAATTGTAGAACTCCCCAGAGTATCACCTTGCTCTTGTATCTCCAACGACAGCTAACCATTGCTTTTGTTTTTTTCATAGGCCCTTTCAAGTGAATCATTTGAAAGGCTTCCTGTTTTTAATAAGTCAGCATGGCGGCACTACAAGACCACACCTGAAGCAGATGACTGGAGCAATCCTAGCAGTGAACCAAGGGATGCTTCTAAATACAAAGCTAATCGATAATTTGCCACCTTTTGTCTCTGTTGGAGATGACCTCTGCATTCAGTATAAAGTCTCTGCTTTGTTCCAAAATCCTTCAAACCACAGTAGCTAATTACTTCCAAACAAAGACCTAATCAGGGCATTGAAATACTAAGAACAAAGTGATGATTGGGACTTGAAGGAAGGCACTGAGCACGTTTGGTATGTGAATCCTGTGTACTTCACCAGAATATGCTTGGTTGCTTCAGTCATGCATTGACAAAAGGGATTGCACTGTGATTGCACTTAGGAACACGATGTTGTAACAAAAAGATACTATTTGAAGGGGCCAATTCTTATTCCAATGTAAGGATTGGTAGGATGTGCAGAATCCCTTAAAGTGGTGAATAGTATCTTGCACAGCAGTATGGTGTAAGAGAAAAAATCCGACGTAGTTAAACGTGTGCTTCATGCAGCATTTTGTATTGCACAGTGTCACCCCTAAGAGAAAATCCCTTTGAGCTCTTCTGATCTTATCTCTAGTGAGTTTATAAATGCATAGTTCTAAAAGGGTTGTGCAGCTTTAAATTGATGCTTTCTCCAAATTCCCAAACCCATTTGCCATGTGCATACAAAAGTTGTGTTGTTACAAGACGGTAGGACTTCCACTTCTTGGAATGCAACTTAATGATTTTCTTGACACAGAAATGCATTTCTGTGCATTTTTCCTTGTTTTGAGGAAAGTTCCTAAGTAGTTAGATCACTTCTTCATACAAGAAATTCTGTCAATACAGGGGCAGGGGGTAATTCAAGTTCCTATTTGCTTATCATTTTAGAGGAATTGGGGAGGGGAGAGAAATGCTGAGAGGCCAGACAGCCAGTCATACAAATGAATTTGCCTTAAGAGTGTTGGTTGCTTGAAACCTGATTAGTTTAAAACCTGTAAATAGTTTGCAAAGTTATTTATACCTTCAATGTCTGACTACAGTCTGGTAATCTGAATTTGTAGTGTATATAAAGATATGGTACACCAGCTTTTGGAACATGTCATTGGTCTAAGTACATGAACTGGAAATACAGTAGAAATGGGAGGGACAAAATGTGGCCAGTACCTGGTTAAAGTTAAAAAACATCAAAGACGAAAAATATACAAATATTTTCCCCTTAAACTTATTGTAAGGGTCATTGCTGACTACTAGAAAACTGTTCTTCACAAAGTCTTTGCCAAATGCTTTTTCTGATACTATGGCCTTTCAGAAAAAGCAGTGAAACTTAGAAGCTCCAGTGATTACATTAGCCGTGGCAATAAAGGAGATGAGTTGTAAGCAGCTCTGATGCACCCTCAATTTCTCTTAGGTGTTTTGATATTTTTTGGAAAGCTAATAGAGATTTTAGCATGGAAAAGTGAACCTTGTTTACTGGAATTGTGGGGGAACTGTCCCTTTTGTCCTCCCAGTATTTATTTTTCTAAAGAACTGATATTAGGGAAATGCTGAGAAATTCCTAGGTATTTTAAAAAAAGAAAAAGAATCTTAGTTTGACTTAACAATAGTACTTTGCACTTCATAGCACATCTCATTGAAGGATTATAAAGTGCTTTGAGCAATAAACTCCATAGAGCCCCATTTCTGAGGAGTCGAAATTCTTGCCTTGCCTGTTGCAGCGAGTTCCTGAGCGTGTGCGAGCAGTGGATGAGCTCCCAGGGCTCAGGCCCGTGGGTGTTCCCACACACAGGGACTGGGATCAGGCCCGTGGGTGTTCCCACACACAGGGACTGGGATCAGGCCCGTGGGAGCACCGGGTCCTTGTCTCCGTGGGCTGCTGCCCTTCCCTGCCGGGCAGCTGCTGGAGGCTCCCCGGTCAGCTGGGCAGTGCTGCCCTCAGAGCCCCTCTGCCAGAGGCAGGAAGAGGAGGCGGCTGATGGGGCCCTCCCATCCCCAAACTGGACTTGTCTGGCCCTGGCCAGAGGATCCTGGCAGGGCACAGTGAGGGTGTGACACGTGTGGCCTCCAGAGCAGCAGCTTCCCAGCACTGCAGGCACTGCTGCAGAGAAGGCAGGTTGCTATTCAAGCAATACAGCTGTGGTGAAACCAGGGCAATGGTTTGACTGAAAACACTGATTGCAAGTTACGTCTACTAAAATGTAGTCATTTATCTTCTGCCCCCACCTGTAACTTCGTACTGTTTTTAAAATTATTTCAAGTTGCATATGTTTTATAGTAATTGCAGAGGAGATTTTGGTTAAAGATAGAAATTTGTGATGAAACTAATATTTCCTTGGTTGCATGTGATGTGTTTTTTATAGAACATTACCCAAAACATTCCAAGTAATAAGGTAATCTACATAAGAAATTTGAATTTCAGCTTTTGTTAGAAATTGTATTTTGAAGTAGTAAATCCTGACCTGGTACTTGTTTTTGGCTGTCTCCTTATACATGACAAGGAGAGGGAACAGAAAGCAAAGGAAGGATGCTGACACATTGGACTTGTTCCCATGAAGTGCATGTAGGCCATGGAGCCATGGGATGTAAGCCATGGACACTGAGAACAAAAGCTGAAGTTACCATGGGGGACATTATGGTGTGTTAGTGATGTCACTTGAGCCACAAAAACAACCGGCTGCTTACAGGACTGGAGTGCTCCAGTACTTGAAAACTGAACTCCCCTGAAATGACACCCACTTCCAAGAACCCTGAGCTTGTACAAACACCTCAAAAGAGCAGGCTGGAGCACAAGGAATTGATTTTCTTTCCATTCCCCAAGGTCTTTATGGGGGCGTTACAATGAATACGAGAGCAAAGCAACTTTTCTTCCTTCCACCCTTGTCCAGGCAGCCTTAGTGGCAATTCCAGGTGTGCCATCAGTTGTTCCCCACTCATTGTCCTTATGCCATGCTTCTACATAGTGGTATTTGTCTGAAAACTGTTTTAGGAAGCAGCAGCAGCAGATCTTCAGTTAGAAGAGGGTTTTTCAATGGCTGTGCCTGAAAAATGAGCACGGGTGGGTTTTTTAATATGGCTGGTTTAACTACAGACACTGATTTTTTTCCCGTTACTTCTACCTTTGATTGGAATATCTTAAAGCTATGTTTTAATATCTTGGGGCATTAATTCCAAACTTTCTGGTGATACAAAAGTATATTTCCTTTTCATTAATTTCAGAGTTATGGCTTGCTGATGTCATTGCAACCTGCTTTTCTTGGCTTACAGGACACACAAATACAAAAAAAAAAAAAGTTTTCAGTGAAAATGTTCGTTACCTGTGTTACCTGTTGTGTTTATGATTAACAAACTGAACAAGAGATGTTTTCTCCTTAATTCTTCCTGAGAATTTACAAACACCTTCTCTATGTCATAGTGTAACAAATAATTTACTTTTTGTCCATTGTGCATTTTTCTGGTATATGTGTCTTGAATGTAATTTTATTAATCCTCTGCCTAGTTTAATGTTAATAGATATAGAAGTCTCTCCAAATGATGTACATATTTGTGCTTCCTGCTTTTCTAGGCTTTGTTTTGGGGCAACAAGGGGTCTTTCAGAGTCTGCATTTGATTAGAAATATTCAGAAAATACCAAAATGCTTCTTTTGCAACTCAGGTGTAGTCTTTGTGTAATTGACTATGATGACCTAGGAGAGCATGGAGAAAGTCTTTGTCCTGCTGCAGTCTGTGCTACCTCTTGGGCAGTGTTTATAGCAGGTCCATTGGCACATGCTTAAAGAATATGGATATTAATTACAGTGTTCTTGCAAAACTCAGGCTACTTTTTGGCTATGAAAGGCTACATTTACTGCTACAATTGGGTAACATTCTTTTCTTTGTCCTCAGTAGCATTTGCTTTGATACAGCTGTTCATTTTTTCTAAGAAGTGAGCAAGAGTGATCTTCAGTGCAATCTGCGGTTCACCTTCACCCAGACATAGTATTTAAGGTGATATCTTGACCTCATGGAAGAGGTTTCCTCCCTCCTCACCTTATTAATAGGTACCTCTAGATCCTTATGCGTGAGGTGCTGCAAAAATGGTCAAGGTTCATTAGAATAATTCATAGAAAACAGCCTAAATGTTCAGTTAGCCTAAATGTTAGTACTTGTCTTGAGGATAACCATGCCCCATTGTAGTGTTCCCTTTCCTTGCTTGTCTCCAGGTTGCCGTGGTTTCTGGTAGCTCTTCCTTTCTTCTTCCTGGCATCCACACCTGTCTATAGATTCACATGTGTAAATGTGTTTTTGCTGAAGAGAATATGATGGCACGTGACAGAACAATGTGTTACTGACTTCAGAGCTTGAGTTTGCTCACAAATGAGGAACATTGCTATAAACTGTGTGGTGACTTCAGGGCTGAGTCTTGCAAATACTTGCACAAGTCAACAGTGTATGAGAGGAATGCCACTTAAATGAATGTTCTCAGGATCAGGACTCAGGCTGTTGATACTAATTTGAAACAATGACGATTTGTGTAATTGAAGTGGCTTTCTAATTAAAACTAAATAAGAAAATTTAAAGTTCATGTGCTTTAATTGGAGCATTATGTTGCCTTAAAAGTCCTCAGAAATCAGCATAGTGGACTTGTTTGCTTCTTAAATCTGGAGGGGTTTTCATGTAGTACTAGAAGGATTGATGAGTGTATGATAATTCTGGCATTGTCCTTCTGGTGTTAATTGCTTTATTGATTTTTTTCCTTTGAACTGAATACTGCCAAGTGGTGTTGGACACAGCCCTTTGAAACCCGTTCCCTGTGCAGGTCACATCAGGCAGGGATTGTCCTCAGGGACCTGCAGGCTGGCTCCCCTCACATGGGAGGTGTGCTGACCCTGCCGGTGTGTGATGAGTTTGTCATGTGGGTGGAAATCAAGTCCCTTTGTTCCCAAGGTCAGGTATGGGACAGCTCCTCCTGCTGAGCTGCTCAGTGTTGCACCTGGCAAAAGCGTGGGAAAGTGGTCTTGTAGTGCCTTTCCTCTGAGGTGGCATCGTATGAATCTACTAAACCTGTAATGGCAGAGTGAGAAGGTATTTTTTCATGAGATTACCTGGTGATATTTTAAATTTATTTTTAAATCTTCTGATACTTGTCCTGTTTCTGGTCTATAACCTGTGTATTTGACTTGTGTATCCTCTTGTTTTCCTTTTTTCTTTCCGTGGTTGACAAATAAAATTATGTCAAAACTACATGTTGACATTTTTAAGGGACTGGTTTGGTTTCACATAGTATGGAGCTCAGTTTTTGATTGTCAGTCCAAGGTCCATTTCTCACATGCCCAGAGAGGTGCACCCTCAGAGAGCTGCTCTTGGGAGCTCAGGAGGAATTTTAGCATATGAACAGCTTTTGGGTTTGGGTTTTTTCCTGCTATATAAACCTCCCAAAAGCTAATTCTCGGATTATTCTTGACAGCCAAAATAGCTCTTGTAAACAGATCTGTAAGACCCAAGGATTTACCTTAAAATTTCTTCAGTGTTCCATGATGTTTTATATGCATTTGTAAGATATTCAGGAAAATGAAAAAACCCAAAGTTTGTTACCAACCAGTTCCAGAGCAGGAAAGTGCTTGGGGACCCGTCTTGCTTGGCTCGTTAGCTTTCTTATTGAGTAATAAATGAGGCTCCAGATGGCCAGATTTTGCTGGAACTGAGATAATTTTCTTTCAGATTAAGAATTTATTTTAAAACTTCAGCTGAGAAGAAATCTGTGTGTTGTACTTTCTCACTGCTTACCATTTGCCATGACGGGCTATTCACAGGAGATGAGTAGTTAATTAAGTAGCTCAAAATTGCAAAATGTGTCAGCGTGTACTGCATATTTGACAGTTGCTGCCTGTAGAAGATAAAGCAAACAGTTGTAGCAGCAGTATAATGAAGATTTATGGCTTTAGGATACAGACATATGTGGGAGAACAATTTGTAATAAGGGATGAGTTTCTTGTTATACAATTCATGCCTTTTTTAGATGCTGTAGACTTAGTACTTCAATTTGTTGTTTTCAGTGGAAAGAAGTCTTGCAGTAAACAGTTTTTAAATGAAGCGAGACATATAAAACATGTCAGGCATGCTTGATAGGAAAAAAGAAACTTTTGTAAAATGTCAGATCAGTTTATAGCCATTATCTAACTCAGAGGCTGTTTTTACTTGAAGTTGTTGTACTATCTTGTCTGGGAGTTACATGGAATGTAGTAAATAATGCCTGCTGTGTGTTGTCTAAGAGCAGCAGCCATTTAGAAATGGTGCCACAGCAATCCTGAAGTCCTTTTCTGTCCTAGTGACTTGCTTAATTTTTGTATTTCTTTGGCCCAAGCTACTCCCCTCATGGGTCTCCTAGTCCTAATGCAGTAGGCACATCACTGTGCTTCTGCCAGTGTGCAGCTGCAGCCAGCATTTGAACATTGTAAAATGATTTTCTGTTTTGCTCTGCCACTGTGGATTCTTTTCATGTATTTAATAAATGTGCAGGTACCTGCAATACAGTGATTTAAAAGATCATTTTCAGAAGAAAACATCAGTTCTTCCCATTTTCATGGTCCCATGTTGACTGCTTGGTATTTGGAAGCTTTCAGAGGAGTTTCATTGCAGTGCTTGTGGTTGTGGGAGCTGATGCAATGTTATGCCATGAGAGCTGTCCTGGCAGACTTGGGCCT